TGAAGCTCGAATGGTGCGCTAATCGCTGACGTCTCCCGTGGGGGAATCCCCCGCAAGAATAGTTAGCCGCTTATTTGGTGTGGGGCGAAGCCGCTGCCGGCGTACGCCGGATATTCCGATATTTTAGGAATTTAATAATGCCAGTATAAAACATACCAGATTTACCACCCCGCCCATTCCTCTACACCACCCCTTACCATCCTCCGCCTCATACTCCACATATTATTTATCATAAATAAGTGCCTCCTAGAAAGAATGAACGCCCCTCGCAACTATGCACTTCATCTCCTCCAACCCCTAACTAACATCCTGTTCATCCGCCCATCGAAATCCCGACCGGCGCCTCTGAACTTAATACAAATACCTGCGGGAAATGGGTAGGAAAAGAATCGCCGCTTAAACAATCTCTATCCCTTCGCATTGTTTATCATTGGAATAATAATTGACATTTTTATTCCTCAGGAATTTCTATTAACTTTTATAACCTACATTTCTGGATTAAGTACAACATAAGTATGTATATTAAATAAAATCTCTCATATTCTATAAATAACTTAGTTGAAAAAAATATAAATTAATGCAGTCGTGTATTTTTTTTATATAAAGATTTATTAAATGAGTATAAGCATTAGTTGAAAAGACTGGAAGGTAGGTGAAACTGAAGTTTGAATTAGAAGTGGAAAGCAACAAGAAGTGTTTTATCTGCATGTAGCGGTTAATGTAAATGCGGAGGTTAATTAAATGTTAGTAGAAAATATTTAGTGAATTTTCTAAAGTAATTTCACCACCATGCGTGGCTCGCCGACGGAAACTAATTTAAATCACTAAACGGACAAACCTGCTGAACTTCAAAATAATTTCAGTAGGAATAATTAGAAACTCAAGTTTAGCCTTGATTAAAAATTCGCCGCACGGTATGGATTACACGTAAATGAAGTTTTCACTCAGCGTAAGCTTTTGAAGCAACTTTACGTACGAAGTACCAACATCAGACTAGATTTAAGGATGGATGCAAGGATAAATGAGCATAAGCCAATAATAACAAATTCGTCCTTTAATGCATCCTGCAAATATGGAAAGAAATTGCGGCTTCAAAAACGCGGTCCAGCAAAACGAAGTTTCATTTATTATATCATTTCCCCTTGTCCTTAGCCTCCACTTTGTTTGCAAAGTTCCAGTTTCAATTTGTAACATAGGAATCGTGTAAGTTTTATCCTAACTAAAATCTGGCGACGCTAGTTAAGAGAGAGAGAGCTGAAGATACCCCCGATACAAATCCTTTTAATTCCACTCTTCCCATCCACCCACATGCAGCCCTTTGCGGCCCTTTTCTTTCGCCCACCGCTCGTTAATTCCTTCGGACCGTGAATCCCATTTCCTATCAATTTATGTTACAATCGGTCTAAATCCTTTTAATTTCGTTCCCCGCATCAGTTTAACTAAGTGATTCGTTTGCTGCTGGTTCACTTACGAGTTGCCACGTGCAGATATCGTTACATAAACTAAACGCGCTGCGGTCACGTCGAATGTGTTTTTCATTCGGTTTGCGTAAGTGCATTTTGCAATTCATTTGCAAAAATCTATCTGCGACAAATTGAAAAATAAAATTGAACTCTACCATATTTTTTCTTTTTTTTTTGGTTTAGTTTTGTTTTCATATTTTCTCTCTGCGTTTATATTTTTCGATCCTTTGGGGTGGACCATGATGGAATTAGACAAAAGAATGATAGAGTTCCATTAACAAAAAAAATATGGAATGGTTGCAATTACGATGATGTAAACTCTTTGAATCGAACGCGCTGGATGCAATCGACTGGAAGCTTTAGTTCCATTTTGTTTTTTTTTTTGCAATGTTTCCTACTGCGAATAGTTTTCTTCCTTATTAATTATTAAACGGCCTTAATGAAATCGGGATTTCGGTCCATGAGTAATGTCCTCGGCGTGCTCCGGCGCTCTCTGAACTGTGGAGGTGTTTAAAGATCGAAAGCCCGAAAACTTTCCGCGAAGTCCCAGGGTTACAATGAGAGTTAAAGCCTTTGGAATAGATTGTAACTAAATGAAGACACATTTTGTACCTGCATATTTCATTCATTATTTTAACTCAGAATATTATAGTTCTAACATCTGCTATATACATATTTACTATTATATAAGATGATTAATTTTGTCAAAGACTAAATATTAAATTAATATTAAATTAATTAAAACAAGTTGCTCTTCTTATTTCATTTATTTACAATATAAATTATATCCAGATGAGTTCAGGATCAAAAGAACCGGAGGGCCAGATTTGGCCCTCCATATATAGTATAAATTTATAAAAATAAGTACACAAAACACTTTGCGACTAAATAAAATTATGTAATAATGTATGTAAATAAAATAAAAGTTTGCAACTTTTTTAGTAAATAAATAATAAACTGTATTACGTTTTTCAATTTATATAAAAAAAAGCATACGCCTTTATAAGTATATTTGTGACCAACGTTTTTTTATCTTAAAAACGAGGTGATATATTTTGATCCCCAAAGCACCACGGCATGAAAGTCCTATTGTGCTATCCCCTTTTAATGTCAGTCTTCTACCATATGTTCCATTCCAAAAATTCCTTTGTCTCCTGACATTATATAATATATTATACTAATGTACTATATACTGTATAAAATATATAAAAATATATATATATATAGTCTATATTTTGTTATAAGCAATATTAAAAATTTAATTATTTTTAATTGAATTTAAAGAATAAATATATTGTCCACTCTATAAGACAGTATAATTGGTATTATGGAGGTAATATCTAAATTAAATTGATGAAAGTGGTCTTGCTTTATAATGATAATCTGATTGAGTTAATTTGATGGAGCATGTTGCAGTGTTGATATTAAAAACATAGATGCAATATATGGGTTAGATATTGTCGATGGTTTTGGATAGTTAGATTTAGTTGCTGCATGCGAGCGTGAATCTGGCCGTAAGTGTGTAGTGAGTGTGAGAGAGTAGGATAGATATTGTGAGAAGTGAGATTGGAGAGTGAGAGGGGAAGTATGTGTAGTGGAAATTGGTGACCCGCAGTCTGGAAGTTCCGCTCACGCGCGCGCTTGCCAGTGTATCCAAATTCATTGCAGATTTTCAGCTTGTCGGCTCTAGAAAATGGAAGGCTTGAGTGCCGCGCCATTCGCCGGGAATGATGATAGAGTTAAAGAAATAATAGGGATTTACGTCCCCGTCCGGTTCCCGAAATCAATACGGCTTTAAGAGCATCCGTGTGTTTTTAATAATGATCCTGAATGCGCACACATACGAAGCATATCCCATTCATGCACACGATACAGTGTTTAGTATTCAGTCCATCATCCAGCTATGGTTATGATTTGGTGGTGGCGGCTAGTGGTATATGAGTATCTAGTGCCATTCGGCAATGGTTCTCGATGCTCGTCTAGCCAAACATATGCTTGACTACATCCATCCATCTAACAATCGAATGCAGGGAATTTTGTTTATCCAGCAATTTGAAGACGGGTATTTTCCGGTGTTGAAATGTTGCGCCAACTAAGATCGGTGGGGCTGTGCATCGTGCACATCGACATACGGAAAACCTTAGCCGTGAGCACGAGGCAGCAGCAGTAGCAACGAGCAACGGAGGGAATGGGGCTTTTCACAAAGTATTCAGTCCCATGATTTCGCGATTTACTGTGCCAGAAGTGACGTTTCCCGTGACTGACGGCGAGCCTGGTCTAAAGGGGTTGGTTGGTCGGAGGCCGTGGACGGAGGGGAGGTCGGACCGACGTGCTTGCGATATATACTAGCTGCGGCAATAGCCTGAATGCTATCGGACTTCTATTCTGTTGTTTAAGCCGCATCTGTGAAGTTGCACATCGCCCGGTCTCGATAGCAAACATGCGAAACCGCCGTCGTCCATCTATTCAAATCTATTCTACGCTCGGTATCTGGCTACCACCGTCAGCAGCTTTGCAGCTTTCCTTACCCTGTCTTTCCAAGCCTTTGCCTTCCTTGCCTTTCCTTCTCCACGCACCGTTTAATTACAACAATCCACCATCCCCAACAAAAGTCACTACACCACTAATTTATGTTCAACCATCCTTCTATACATTAACATTTTTATTTAATGTAAACTTAATCTTTAATATATACTTCAACATTTCATATGTTTTTATGCAAGAACTATTTCGATTAATTCCATTACATTTATTAATTAAAAACAGGTACACATTTACCAATGAAAATAAAATAATTAATTCAAAAACATAGTTCAAAAGGAATTTCAATTTAAAAGCAATTTATATGTTAAATTCATCTTCAAACCTCCAATATTACTCCAATAATAATTCTAAATATTTTTATTTATATTTTCATATGAACAAAGAAAGAAATGTGTCTTGTTTTTTTCATTAATAGAATATAAGTCACAATCCTTAATCATCTAACTTTCATATACATCTTTGGATCGATTCTATTTTGGGAAAATTACTAAAATGTAATGTTACTTTTTACTATATTTATTGTTTAATGTTGTGACAGTGATAAACAAAATGTTAAATTATATTGTGAAACTATATAGATGCTTAATCGAGGTACAAAATTTTATCCGTGTTGTTATGCAATTTTGTTTGTTTCTACATAACCTTCTAACGGGAAATTTTCTGAGAATTCTTGGCTTCCACCTCTCGCTCCGGGCCTAGGTTTAGGATGAAATCCGGCAGACAAGTGGGTCCGGGGTCGGGAGTCTGGCGGCGGCGGCCGTATCGACTGTCGGGTTTAAATATTTAATAAGCAACATTCCAATGTAAATCAGTCTCATTTGCAGAATGTGACATTTCGAGTATTTGAATTCTTGTGCGGCAGCAAAAACCCTGTGCTCCTTCCTTTCGTACGCTGGACACGTCCGCAGCTCGCTTTCAGCGGAACATCCTCGGGAATATCTTTAGTTTCACTTCACTTATCGCGTTGCGAACTTATCTTTCGCTCTGTTGCAGGTCAGCTGGCTGAACCAGAACCGGAGTTCTTGGCTCCACTCGAGAACCAAACTGTTACCCAAGGCAGGGACATGTACTTCACATGCGTCGTCAATCATCTATCTTCATTCAAGGTAATATACACAACTAATTATATATCACTTAATTATATCTTTACTTACAGATTTAACAAAGGTTTTCTATGAAATTAAATCTATAACTTAGGTTTAACGAATTTGATGCAATATAAATTTCAAATTACAACTGTTAATAAAGCAATAATACTTAAGTAATTTTGAAATAATGAAATAACTTTAGAACTGCTTTTTTAAAAAGACTGCTTAAAATCAATATAAGTTCCACAGAGCTCCTTACTTAGCCCAATACATAATTATTATCATGTAACTAGAATTGAACCTATATATCATGTAAAATATTGCAAGGTATTTTTACTTGCAATGAAGTTAATAGAATATCGTCAGCTCATAGAGATGTAAATTAGGCATTAATAGATAAATAAGGAATGCTCGATTCGCGTCTAGACTGTTGTAGGTCGACGACCTGGATAGAATATGATACAGGGCATCTTTGTCCTTAGCAATCGAGTCATCTGCACAAAGAAAAACAGGAAGTAATATTAAAATTGAAAATAAAATAATGTCTGCCGGAATATTATAAGCGAGAACGGTTCGAAGATCTGAAAGACCTAGCCTTCTCCTTCATCCCTCCTACATCCGCGTTTGCAGTTTTATATGAATTTCACGCGAGAAAATAATAAATGCAATGGAATGGAATGGAAGTAATCGCAGCATTTATTAATTATCTACTTTTCCATTCCGTTTTCGAAACCATGGCGCAATTCGATCTGTTTCCTCTCCGAATGCAACACGGCTCTATGAAATTGTGTGTATGTGTGTGTGTATTAATAATTGCAATTCATGCGAGCAAGGCTTGGGTACAAACAATATGGGATATAGCTCAGAATCCGCGCATGGTGTAGGATTATCTGACCCCGTAACAGGTTCAACAATACGTTCAATTCACCCACATCCGGCTGGTACAAAGGAAATGGATAACAAACATATCTATTGTACGGCGGAGAACTATTCTTTGCGGCACGGTGCTCTGCTACTGCTGCTATTCTCTGCCCATTTTTTTTTCATTACACGTACTATTTTATTTATTACACTAATTAATTGCAATCAATTGTTCCACAAACAAACAATTACTTTAGAAAAATAAATGTAGCAATTGTTTGAAGAAATATTTAATGCAATCATAATTACATTATGTTTACAAAATTGAAATATTTATTTACTTAAAATATATTATCGCAGTATAGTAATTATGGAACAAATATCATTTGTGTAAAACTACAGCTTATATCCAAGATAGGACAACTATATTAACTCTTTGTGGAAGAGCGGCGGATGTATCCGCTATATCCTTCAAATAGCATACTTCGCTTTTGCAAAATTGTATGCAAGGCGACTGTGCATCAAATTTTAGCTCTAATTGAAGCTCTGTAAAGTTAGTTGATAAATTATTAAAAAATATACAAGAATATTACAATTTTCTTAAATTTATTATTGCAACAGTTTTCAAAGTAAATCGAAAATTGAATACTGAAAATTTAAAGCAACTATTATGTTTTTCAAAACAATCTGAATGTGTAACAACTATGTTAATAAAACTGTCGAAGAATGTATATAGTTTTTCAATATATGCAAATTTAGTTTTTGCTTAATAAAAATAAAAGCTTGTTTAGTTCCAGATTGGAAAGCATAATTGTCTCTATATAAAAAAAAGCAAAAGCAATCGTCGATTCTCTAGTGGAAATATCGTACTATTAACATGGGTGAAATGTTATAAAAATCCATTTCAGGATGCGATTCCATTCGGATGCCTGCACAGCACCGACCGTGTGTATAGGTGTAAGCTATCTATCTCTCTATATATTACGTAACTCTCGCTCTTCTCTTTCGGTGTAAATAATGAGAAAATAATAGGAAAAAATGTAGCCGACAGCGGTAAATCTCGAAGAAAATGATTTTATCGGGGAGGGCGTTTATTTCATTTGGCACGCGGCTGCGGGCCCCACACGTTTGTGTGTGTGTGTGTGTGTATATATGTACACGTGTTTGTGTGTGCGCGCTGGGGATGTGGGAATCTATCGAAGTTTCATAGCGATCTCATGGACACGGGATGAGAATGATGGAATATATGGGGATGATCTCATTGTGTCGTGGCCCGAAGCTAAACGGGACACAAAGAGGCCCAATCAGACTCTTACCTCACACTTATTGAGTTTGCTACGTACTACTTCTACAAGCAACTCCGGTAGTAATAAAATCAGCGTGTGTATAAACTCCTACCTAAGTCACCGCAGCAGCTGAGACTTCGGGGGAAAAATTACATGTATTGAAAAGTTTAAGTTGATTCAACTTCCAGGTGCAGCGGTACGGCACCAAGTTGGAAGCGGCTTTCGCTGTTCGACGTTGCGAGGGATGATTTGCAAAGCGAAATGTTCACTCGCTCGCCAATGCTAAGATGCTCCTAATTACAGTTCGTTCGCATCCGAGCATACCCAATACTTCTCAAACATGCTTTCGAACTTAATGTGTACAGAAATAAATTTATATATATTATTCAATTCAGAATATCACAAAAATAAATGTAACCACATTAGAAAAGATTATTCGAATTCAGTTGCCTCAACGTATATATTTTTTACTGTTTTTATAATAATAACACATATTTGGGAAGACCTAAGGACATTAGCAACAAAAGAAAAATCTTGGACTGATATACATATAAATATATATTTGATTGGAAAAAATCAAGTACTACTAAAGCCGTAAGACATTGTATTTATTTAAGGGGTGAGAAAAGTGTGTGGGTTGGCATATGGAGTATGATGTGATTCCGGGTTGAAAATATGAACGTAACGTGGAAATCTCATACATAGTTATTCAAAAGTTTTAATGGTACGTTTGAAAGTTTCAAGCGATGAATTCGTTTTACGTAGAAAAGCACCAATACATATTTCGTCCTGTACCTTTCTATTTGTCCACCGTGCCCAAACAAGAAGTGAAATTAATTTCTCCACTTTACACTCGTCTGCTGGAGTAAATAGAAATATTTGTTATGTAACAAATACAGCGATGCGGATGAAATTCGAGCCCCACGAGAATACAGGCTTTAATTTATTAACACGTATTTTCTTTATTCGAGAAAACAACTGTTTTCTAGTTAAAAATGATATATAGAGAATCTACATTGTTTATCATTATTTTGTATTTTAATCAAACCGTTACGTCAAATATTTACATTTGGAATGGGCTATCATTTTGACCGGAAAATTTGATGCTCGGAGCATAGATGAAGTATAATTTAGATCGCCAGATTAATGCAATGATTACCGAACTATGAAGAAGCGCGCCTGTCTGAACAAATTATATAAGGACAAACCCAATGGTTCAAGTTTACAGTATGATTTGCTTATTCCTAATATTTAGTAAATACAGCGTTATGGGTTTGAAATAATTCTATAGCCTGTAAATTATAAATAATAGATGATGCCAAAATATCTAAGATTATGTCATCAAACATCACAACAAATATGTGACAAAGTGAGGAATAATATGAATCAACCTTGTTTTTATATTATCCTACTTTATTTACCTTTTAGACGCTAACTTCATATTCTTGAATAGATGGACTAAATTTATAGACTTTAAGATTAGTTTAACTAATAAGGCTTAAATATCTACGATACAGGTTTAAATCTTGTGCGTTTAAACATTGTCAAAAAAATTTGATGACTTGTTTTTTTTAATGTAAGTGTTTAAATGCTACAAATTTTGTCTTTATTTATTTATAGGTAGCATGGATAAAATCTGATACAAAGGCAATTCTGGCAATCCATACCCATATGGTGGCTCAAAATCAAAGACTATCGGTAACTCATAATGGTCACAACACCTGGAAACTGCACGTGTCTAACGTGCAAAAGAACGACTCCGGCACGTACATGTGTCAGATCAACACGGACCCGATGCGCAGCCAGGTGGGTGTCTCATTATTCCTCCTAATCTTTCGATGTATATAGTTTCAAATCCTGTTCCAGATGGGAACACTAGAAGTGGTTATACGACCGGACATCCTGAACGAGAACGAATCTTCTGAAGGAGGCGGTGTGGCTATTGAAGGCGGCACGGTACGTCTCAAATGCCACGCGACAGGAATCCCGGAGCCGACGGTCCTCTGGCGTCGCGAGGACTCCAGGAGCCTTGTCCTTCGTCACGACGGCGGCCGCGAGAAGCAAGGTAAGAACAAGGTCCTGCAAGAAAGGACACGCCCGTCCCTCTGATTACCCAACCCACCAATCCCACAAAAATCGATGCCAAAAAAAAAGAACCGAAGAAAACACTTTATTTACGTTCACTGAAATAATATCTCATTGAGTTGGAGAGCAGATGGTGCGCCTCCTGCCTAATCCTGGCTCTCCGAATCTCCGATTTGCATACCGCCTCCACTGAATATGTGCAATGAAAAATTCAAGTTGCGCGTCTATCGGGTACTTCTGACAACTCCCCAACTCACCCCCGTTCGCCCTAGATATATAAAAATATATATATATACCCATGTATCCGCTGCATTTTGCTTCCGATAAATCCCCGCTCATTTAAATTTCAAATCAGATATTATCTCAAGGAGTCTGCCTCGGAATCATCTGGAGGTGTTAGAATCCTGCCACGATTCTTCTACACTGTCCGAATAAAACATCGGGCGGAAACTGTTCCCTCGCCACATCTTCATTTTCGCGAGATCCGCCGCAACATCAATTACACCGTTCTCCTCCATTTTTTATTATTCTCCTTTGCGACCGCTCTTCTACAGATTCTTCTCGCTGCGGCTCTCCATCCAATTATTGTTCCGCGCGGATCGCGGATTCCAAATGCAAACGGACCGACCTCTCCAGCTCCTTATTTTTATTATCCTTATTTTTCTCTTCACGTCCTTCCTCCTTTTGTCCCCCTCACGAGACTCAGCTTTGGGCACAGTTAAAACTCAATTTGTTCATATTCATTCCGAATTGCGAAACTTATTTGGGAATTCGCTCCGCAGCCGAGCGTTGCCTATTCGTGCGTGCAACTGCTTATTTGCGCGAGGATAATTACCAGGAAAACTGGAATTGTTTGTAATGTGTGCGAGCAAGGACTGCGACCGATAAATCTTTTAGATTTCCGTCCCCAAATCCTTTCCTGATTCGATACACTACATATTTATTTCTACGATTAGAAATACGAAAGCCATCTGTCTCCTTACGTAATTTTACCAACATGATTGAACGAACGTGTAATGCTGATACGATTGTAATAGGCTATTTTTTCCAATTGTAAAACGAATTATTATCTGTAATTATATGAATCTGATAAAACTGAAAGGTCGATAGTTACATAATGACCGCATTGTCCTTCGTCTAATCTACATCGAATTGATTTTTTTTTCAATTTTATATACAATATTTATTGACTTCTTATATAAATATAAAAATATAATAGAACTAATCAAAATAAAAAAATCAATAGTTACATAAATGTTATTAATCACCTATGTAAACCACATCAAATGGTTACTTTTTTCTTTCATTTTTTTTTTACAGTTTCAAATATAATCTAATTGTGTTTATTAATTCATATTAATTAATTAATTAATTCTATAAATCAATCATGATGAAAAATATTACCAAATTTTTATTAATATGTAATAATCTGTCATAGATTTCTAAAATAAATTATAGATCGATATTTACACTATCATCTATTCTGATACATAATTATTGTAATCTGATGGAACTGAACGTTCGATAGTTAATTAAACTTTATTGACCGCACTATCCTATCCTTCATAAGCTATTATATCGGATAGTAAGTTTTTTTGTATAAATTTATAAACATTGTCATCAGCTTTCTAATATAATTATAAGATGAAGCTAAGAAATCAATGTTTATACAATACTTAATGAAAACATAATATTGATATTGATAATTTTAAGTATATCTGATTATAAAAATTGTCAAATTTATTATATTTCTATTTTGCTACATATTATTAAATTATTTATTATTTTACGTACATCTATTTATAATTAGCAGACAATTGTTTGTCTAATCAATTTCAGATGCATTTGTTTTTAACGCTTCATCCCCAAAGCGGCTTTATACAAGAAACTTCGCTTATACAAAATTGTATGTAAAATAGGCGATGTCAATTCTGTTAACAAATACGCCATAACATAATTGAATCAATTGATAATATAAACGCTTAATATTACTATTTTTATGTGAATTTTCATAATTTTGACAAAGTGGATTAATTGCTTTGCATACGTTTTACAGAATCGGACTTTTATTAGCTGACGGTGATTAATTGTTTTGAGTACCGTCACGTGCGTTGCATCACCAAACACCGAACTATTATTTAGTATGCAACAGTTAACGCAGCTTTAGATTTTCGTTTGAAAAAAAAAAACAAAGTGTGCATGCAAAGTGAGAATGATTAATGATTTTTTTAATCAGCTTACATTTTGTTTAAATTAACAACATTTGTAAATAATCCATTCAACAAAATAAGTAAAAAAAAATATTTGCAATATTTATATAATTTATTTATAAAAAGAAACAAAAATCATATTTTCACTAAAATTGTGAATTTGCAGTTTTGAGAATTTAGGTTTAAAGTATAGAAAAATGAAACTAAGCAGAAAGTGTAGATTTATCTTTTTAAGTGTTATTTCATTTAGTAATTTGGGAGACAAACTGTGGATAAAAAAAAGTAGTAGTAAAATTAAAAATAAATGGAAGACTTAGGAGGGCGATATTATATATACATATATTTGAACGCTAAATCTATACGGGCACGCCATTTAAATGTTTGCTCGCGTTTGTTATCTGCTGAAATTCCAGTTTTATAAAACTGTCCAATTGTCTAGGAATTAATGATCGCTGAACATAGTTCCACTTCCTATGTGTCTCCCTGTGTGTGCTGCCTCCTCTTTTTTCATTTATTTCTCTCTCTGTTTTTCTCTCGCCTATTTTCCATTTTCGTGTGTACTTGTTTTATCCTACGTTTAGTTCGCTCCTTGTTTTTTTTTTTCACTTTTCTATTTTTAGTTACGCAAGGAATGTTTGCTAATGTTTCTGAATATTTGTCAACGTGCCTACTGCGTCCACGGATTATTATTTATTTTCCAATGGGCATAATTAAACAAAGGGATGGGGCGATATTAAATTACGGAGCGATGTAATTGAATTATTCGTCCGTCCAGATATGACATTAACATAACAATGTTTTATCTCAACAGCGCCGAACAAAATCCGTGTACGTTTGATACATTTAATTGCGGATGCGCCGGGTAACCAAGTCCACATTTCCTCATGTAACAGAATTACACTTTGTAACGTCGCACACGGACAATCCCATAAAAAGGGAATTTCAACTATACAAAAAGAAATAGAAGTTGAATTTAATGAAAATTGGTGTGATATCAGTTTCGAACAGGAATCAAAAATGAAAACAAAAAAAATATGTAATACATTAATAATATTATATAATCAATATTTCATTCAAGTACAAAAAGAACGAGAAAATTAAAAAAAATAGTTATTCATTTTCTATAGAATATTTATATTAATTATTTGAAGTAATCTCAACTTTCCTTGTAGGAATAAATGAAGAATTGTAGTGGAAATTTTTCTCTCTTCATTTCATTTTAATTTGATTAAATAATATTTTTTGTTTGTAATTATCATTAATAATTTTCTAATTCAAATAAAATAAATATAAATTTGATATTAAAAAATTAAATTACTAATTTTTTAGTGAAATTAGAATCAAAAAAAGTCAGTCTAATTGAATTGCTATAGTTTATTAATATTAATAATAGTTGTTAAAATTAATAAAATTATATAATGACAGTTATTTGGATAATTATTATATCTAATAAAAGTGATTGTGCAATGAAAGAAATTAGTGTTCCCATTAATACGCAATTACTAATAACGAGGTGAGAAAGGAACGACGACACGAAAACAATCAGACGTGCGCATGCAGATTAAATTCTACGTACGTGTACGAATGCTGTTTTATTTTTTTCTCTCTTTCTCTCTCGTCGTTTCCGGTTGCAATTTTTTTTTTTCGTTTGCTCGGATTTAACGTGGAATTTAATCGGAGGGTTGGAAAATGCCGGATAATAGACCGTCAGCTGTTTATGCACACGCTTTGTATGTTCATAATGTTATTCATTTATAACCGTTTTGCGGGGTGGGTTGCGATGGGGGTAGGGGGTTGGTGGCGCCGAATCATCGGCAATTTAATTATTTCATTTCGAATTAACATTCGGGCACGGACGTTCGCGGTTACGGCGTGAAATGTAATTGGTAGGACGGAAAACAGAAAAGGACAGAAAGGGAAAAAAGAGAAATGGATAAACTAATGACCGATATTACCATATTTCCATTATTTTTGAATTATTCGCGAATGTGCGAATCATTCCATACGTATTTTTTTTTTAAATATTGTTAATATACTCATTTCAATTGATTAGTCATTTTTTCAACGCTATGATATAATTATTTTAATTTAATTATATTTGTTATTTGATCGGATTTTGCTGTATTATTTTAAATAGTGAATCTTTAAATTATTATTATTTGAGATAAATTTGGTAGGTGAGGTTGTCGAAAGGGCATGACTACAAGTTGAGTGCAGAGTATTGTCCCCTGAAAGGTTACTTCCTCGAGCAGTTTTCGTGCACTTAGGATACGACACTAGTCTGAAGTGACGGATTCAGAATAGTAGGCAAATGACCGGAGAGAATTAAAGAAATGAAGAAGTTGAAAGAAGGTTTCTTTCTTTCTCCTCCTGCAACTCCTTACTCTGCTCCACTGATCTGAGGCTTTACGGCAAAGCAAAACTAATTATATTTTATTATGTTTCGTGGTCGGAATTGCGATTATTAATTTGAGTTGTATGTGGGTGGGTATGGTCTATTGCTGTGAGTGTACCCATAGACATGTGTGTGTGTATGTCGAGGCGCGTTCCATCAAGCAGAACGGCTATTGCGAGTGGCATTTATATCCAGCAGGGCTTGAGAACCCAACTAAACATTTGTCTTTATTCTTACGATTGGTTGAATGGTGGCCGCGACGCTCCGACCGAGCCAATGGACCACACATTCGACCTCCCCAAAAGACCGACGTTATTTTCTGGCGTTTTGAAATATCACGACGTATGGACCGTACATTTTATGTACGTGTCTGAGACTGTGCCTGACATTAGCGGAAATATATCGTGGGGGTTTCCCCCCGTCTGTATTTATCTTTTTCCACGGAACTGTGAATGGAAAATTATCGATTGAGGAAAACTCTCTTCTTTCTATTTATCCTGCTTTCCTCCGGTGCATTCTACACGTCTATTATACTCTTTTCTTCTTTCCACTTATTTTTGTTTGTTTTTTTTACAGTTCTCCGGACCTACGACGGCGACACCTTGGTTCTCGGCAACATCCAGAGATCCGACATGGGTGCATATCTCTGCATTGCCAGCAATGGCGTCCCGCCATCCGTGAGCAAGCGATTCACGGTCCGTGTACACTGTAAGTCATACCTCGGTGCCATCGCATATTCCGCAAATCGCACACGCCTCGGTATCAACCTTTCAAAAAAAACCAATTACATTAGCCTTGCGAGTACTTTGACGTTTTGACACGTTTCCATCGATAGCGACAAAATCTCGCCTGTATTAAAGTACATCTCGTTGCAAGCGATTTTCAGGTTTTGCAATTTTTAATGGAAAACATCCAGTATTAACTTCACGATCGCAAAAATCCTTTTTTTTATATACTATTCCAATGTATACATATTTTTTATTTTGCTATTTAAGCACAAATAAAAATATCTGACAAAAAAAATGGAAAAATAAGACTAATAATAATGTGTAAATAAATAAAATAATAACATAATTATTATTAGTTAAATAGCATAATGTGCACATTTTCCAATTTACTTATTTAAACGTATACAAACTTTTTTTAAAGTATACAAAATTTAATGGAAAATATTAGCATTATCATTGATAAGTAACATTAGAATTAAATTATTATTTTTTACTTTGTTTGATTGGTTAATATACACATTATCCAACAAAAATTATATAAGTTATTTAATTTAATGAAAAATATGCAAAATTAATCTGAATATCACAAAAAAATAATGAGTTTTATATTTAATGAACAAACTTTAACTAAATTTTTGTGTTTTATATAATTTCAAATAATAATAAATATAGAGTTTTTTTTTTCATGAATGAATATACTTGAGATTATTTATATAAATGGATCCAAGTTGAATAGTTTTGGAATAGGTTTTTGAACAAATCTCATACTGCGATATTGCAATATGATTTATGTGGAAAAGCGCACACCTCGGCTACGACCTCAAACAAAAGGCAATTACATCAAACCGGGAAGTACTCAAAACGGCTCACTCTTCACTGCAAAACTATTTCACTTTGATCAATACTCTTTCGTAATAAAAATCTATACTACATATTATATGCATTGTCTATACTCAAGACACAAACTTTTTTCAAGAAGAAAAAAGCATTTACACATTATAATTTGAAACCATGGACATTATTTTATATAATTAAACACAAATTAATTAAATAAGAACAATTCATATATTTGTTTTATATATAACTGTTTTTTTTTATTTAATTATGTTTCAATAATATTTTTTTATAATCGCAACAATTACGTAATTAACCCATTTTTGTCCAAACTCCAACAAAGAAAAAAAAACATTGATTTTATATTAAAAACCCCTTCATTTATAATAATTAAGCACAAAAATATAACATAGGATATTTTTTTTTTCAAAAACACAAAAAATCGGGAGAATCTACTTAAAAAAACTCTACGCATCATGTATATTTGCATTTTTTATAAATCCATCTAATTCTAGAGTGACAACGTATGTGGAAAATATCCAGTATTATTTTTATTTTTATCAATGATAATACTTTTGAGTTTTTATCAAGTACATACTAGATGTCTTACTTCTTTGGATAGAATTCTACATATTTTAAAACAAATATACAAAAATAAGTTTTAGCTACTTATGACTATATTGTCGAAAATTCAATAAATATTTATATACCTGCTGGACAAAAATTTAGTAAAATAATGATAAATTGTTTTCCTAAAAAATATATTTTATTTTTTTGTTATATTTATTAATAAAATATTAATTTTTTTTTCATTACTAAATAAATATTTCATATCTTATGGGTTATAATTGATTAAGTTACAGCTAATTATTATTATTTTAATTACATACAATAATTTAATTCAAAGCAAATATATATAAATGATTAATACTGCTATTATTTGGAAGTTGTTCTATAATTTGTTGATGGCTGTGTAACTTATGGTACAGCATTATTTCCTGGCCTCAATCATAGCCGCCGCCGCGTCTCATTACTTTGTTATTGTGAAAACTGGTTTTGCAGTTGCGCTGATTTTGGTATTTGCAATTTCCATTTCTGTCACTCCGCGAACAGAGGCGAACAATAAAATAGCAATTGCGAGACAGAGCAATGTACGCAAAGTAAATATCATATTTTACGTGAAAAGTTGAAATTTCATAATAAAGGAATGCCGCTGGAGGTTTTCCCTTGAATATAAAATAGACCTTTCCTGGTTTCTATTTAATGTCGACTACTAGCTAATAAGGACGTCAGAATGATAAATGACTTTCGGTATTAATATCAAACATATTATAACCAAAAGAAAAACAGAAGAGGCGCCCATTGATCGGGGCAGGCATTTCCTAATGAACATTACGAATCGCCGTCTCCTTTCAATTTTCTCACGTTTCCGGTTACCGGTTTTTCGTTTTCATTATTTTTTTGTGTTGCTGTTAATTTTTTTTTGTTTTATTATTTGTTTCGTCAAATGAACTGAACTGAACGGGTCGTTTTTCAATTAAAGCTTGATTTAAATGGTGCATTTGTTCGCAAATACGACTCCATTAATAAAGCTTCGAGGTTGTTCAATAATTCCGACTGCTCGGTGTCTCGCCACTTGCAATATGCAATCTATTTTTGCCACTCGCTTTTATCGCGTTTTACCACTCCCCCTAATAAAATACATTTTACTCTTCGGAGCTTCAGATTTTATCCGGAAACCATATTCGATTCTACTGTTTTATCTGGACATCCTTTTGGACAGCTTGCATATCTTCCACTTTATTAACAATTTCTTTACAAATTCAGATCATCATAAGAATTACACAATTTATAAATATAACATACACAATATAATACAGTTAAAAAAAATAAATAATTGATCTAAGACAAACCAAAAATTAAGGGTAGGTGAAATATAATAATTGTCTTTACTTGATGTAATTCATAATTATATGAATTAGACAATTTATACTTTAAAGAACTGTTTAAAAAAAAATATAAAAGATTTTAAATAATTGATCTAGGACAAAACTAAAAATTAAGAGTACATGAAATATAAAAATTGTCTTTACAAGTTGTAATTTTGTTTCGTAAAGATACTATTTAATGTATTTTTCACTAATTTAAAAAAATTCTTAGATATGGATATTATTCATAGAATTATCGTGTCCTGCCCATTTTTCTTTTCATGTTAACACTAAATATAAAAAAAAATCATTAACATTTTCTGCACTATATTTCATTAGTTACACTTATTAAAAGGAATTTATTAAATCATTTAGAAATACAGAATTTAATTTCGTTTTGTGAATTTCAGCATTTTCGTTTCATAGCACAAAAAAAATGCAGGTAATTTCTGTGAAGGAAACGTACTTTAAACAAATTAATATCCGAATCGGAGTAATACGTTTATTGGTTGCAATAAACTGGTTCTGAGTGCTCGACAACAGGCGATCCCCTCGTTCGTTCGTAAAATGATTGAAAATCAAAAAATAAAATAATATATATATATATATTTCACCGGCAAATAAAATTGATTGTTCTTACTTACTCAGCCCATAACTTTTCTGCAGTAACTCTGTCATTTTTTTATGTACATAACAATATTAATTATTCTGAAGAATGGTATTTTTTTATTAATATTACAGAAATTCTCCATTGTAGAATACTAATATCTTAATATAGGGTAGAATCATCAATCCAAGTAATTCCTTTTTAGGTATTGATTAACTTTGGAAAATTTTGAAATCAAATGTCCCATCTATTATTCATTACTGAAATTGCAATTTTGTTTGTAATTAACATGATTTTTTTTTATTATTATCATTAATAATTTGATTAAATTGGATTTTTTTCATATATTGGATTTTTTCATATATTGCTGAAATGAAATTAATTAAATTTGATGTTTATATTAATCTATTGTTTAGAAATAGTCCAGACAAGGTGAAGTGTTTGTGCAATGTATGGACCGATGGATTTGACTTAACATATTTGGCCTTAAACGCGTAACTAATCAAAGCCGACATACTTTGTAAGAGGTTTCTACGAGATCAAAGGCGTTTCGTGGCTTCTGTTTATTTCTATGCTTTTTGCAGTTTGTTCGCGTTACCTATTTTTTGTTTCCATTTGAAGGGTGTGCACTGGGCGTGTGTGTATTTTAATACGTATATGTATACGGGTATAGCATTTTTTCTTGTTTGTCATGTGTATGTATTTGTACGTATGTGAATCACAGTTCATCCGTTGATCCGAGTATCGAACCAACTGGTTGCTGCCCCAGCAGCCAGTGATGTGTTGGTGCAGTGCTACGTGGAGGCTTCGCCACGGGCTATGAACCATTGGACAAGAGACACAGGTAAGCCCTTGAGGGACCGACTTGCGGCTTACGTCCGTTCTCACTCACAATATACACGGCATTAGCAGACGCTCTCGACACGTTCGAATCGCACATTACGACGAGACACAGAATAAATCACTGCTAACCTAATTCATAACACCCAAAGCCTTACATCTGCACACAAACATACACTCATGCACACATCTTCAGACATCCAGACGCGTACACAACAATCAACAACAAAGGGCTTAACAGTTCACCAAGCTATTGTGTTCCAGGGGAAAAACTAATACCCAACGAGAAATACTCTATGGAGGAGACGATATTGAACGAGTACTCGCTTCTCATGAATCTGACAATACGCTCCATGGTTAAGAAGGACTTTGGCGGCTACGTTTGCACCTCCTCCAACGCCCTCGGTAAAGCGGAAGGAGTCGTCCGACTTCAAGGTACGTACCCATCATCCGCATATAGAAACCAGAATCGAAGGGGCGTCAGCTCCGAAAACCCACCACCCTCTAATCCGCGCTCGTATTTCACCGAATAATCTGCTTCGTTTATGATTGCACTTACATAATCCAAGTTTACTGATTCCGACAAAGGCGTGTAAATAAATTTCACTGATATTTTCCCATAATCCCATAATATACGACCGCAACACATTGCACATCCATTAGCATGAGTGTGTGCATTCACGATCCTCTTTTGTTTTCGTTTGCTCCATTAAAACAATTTTAATAATAATAAAAACAGAAGCAACACATTTTAATAACTAAAGTTTATCACAACTAATAAATTAACATTTTTTAAATTTTCCGATTAAACCGGAAGTAAAGTTTATGGCTTCTTCATCATCAAATACAAATCTATAATATTCGCAAAGTATTCATCTATCAAAATTTTATAATAAAACATATTTACTAACAAGAATTATAACAATTTATTGAAGAAATTAAATTTTAATTTTATATGATAATTTATTATTGCATTTAGTTGGAAATAGTAGGTGGCGAAGATTGAAAGGACTGACAATTAATTTAATTAATTAAATGCGGCGTAGGGTTGCGCTTCAAGATAGCTACATTTTCGAATTGGGATGCACCCATTGCTGCGCAACTATTCGTAGATATCTGCACGCTCGACTCGTTTCATATTGGAATTCCTGGCTTGGTTTTATATCATGAGCTTGTTGCATATATTTCAATTAGTTGCGCCAAATATTTCCATGCGATTTCCTTTGTATACTAAACATGCAACCATTTCTTACAAAACATTGTTTTATATTTTATTCTTAATTTATGCCCAAAAACAGTTGCAATTCCATATAAGAAAATACTAATATAACTGAGAAATTAGTTTGTCAATTTATAATTTCTATGAATTAAAGTAGTTGGATTATAACAAACGAAAAGTTAATTAATTAAAGGTTTACTTTGCAATTCGTTCATTTAAGTGCATTACTGTAAGAGGATTACTATTTACATGGAAACAAAAGTTTTTTTTAGTAAAATAAATGTACATTTTTTGTTCATATTGTACTGATAAAAAATGTGTTTGTATGGTGAATGTTGTAATTCCTGAAGTAATAGTGCCTTTAGCAAATGGCCTTGAATTTAGATGCATTGTTGAACAATATTTGCTGGCAACAGGAAATTACACCGATTTGGCAACAGGAAAACGTGCAGTTTCCTTCATATACGTAATCAAAGAAGGCAGTTCATAATTAAATGTGCAAAAAGCAAATGAACGTGCAGCGCCGGAAACAAAGGGACTCGGTGGCAAACAGAATATCCTTGTAACTGTCGGAAATCGGAGTCTTTCCATTTCTTTCATCTGTGCGAAAACAAAAAGCGGGATTCGTAAAATAAAACATCGGAAACAGCTTTTAACGAGATCGCAACAAAAATGTAGATGTAAAGGAAGGACAACAAACCGGATAAATGAAAAAAAAAATATCTATATATAAAATGGGGATGTGATTTGCATATGATTTCGGATTCATAATCGAGAGTTGATGGGTGAAATAAAAAAAGAACAACGAGCTCGTGTTGGTGGTATTGGAGGATCGATGGCGCGCTGATGATGATGGTCATTTGTATATCATTATGTACTACTTTTTCTGTATTGCGTTTCATGTTTTTTTTATTATTCCTGTGTGTTTTGATCAGAGATGCATATGGCGAAGACGACAACCACGACTCCCGCACCTCGCATCGTAGATCTGAAACCGCGCAAGACTCCTCACAGGGAGAAGCCGAAGAAGTATAAGCGACCGACAAAAGGTAGGAAGGATTCGGAGGATGAGGGCGACCTGGAGTCGACCAAGATCGCGACCCTAGAGACTCGCACCCTTTCGCCGTCTCTGTCCGCAACTCCTAGCGCGACGAAACCACCCCCATGGGTCTTACAACGGAACGGCGCGGACACCCCTAACAGATACGTTTCAGCGCTTGCAGCGGCGACCCTTTTGTTACTCATTAATTACTAGATAGATCCCGCAAACCCGCATCACACTTATATCTAGGTATATATCAAAGAAAACATGTCTTCCTCGTGCACGATGCAAAACGGCATATCTTCGCATCATCATATTTTCCCGTTCTTGTTGTTGTTGTTTCTTTCCGTTCTCCGTCTTCAAACAATGAAGCGTCTTCAGAGCATATCACGAACCCTTTTTTTCTATCTCTGCCCAAACTCACAACATTTCCTCGCTTCACTGCAATTCGACAACGACTCTTTAATCCCCATTTACGGAAACAAAAAGAATATCAATTAACTAAACGAAATCACCGAAAGGTAAGTTTGCTCAGATAAATTTTATTTTACGTTATTTAAAAAAAAAAAGAAAATAAAAATATACACTCAAGCTTTCTTCCTTCAAAAAAATAAAAATAAATAAAAGAAAACTAGGAAATAAATAAAATGTAACTACCCTAACATTTTTACAATACACCAGCTTCAAGTCGATTCATAACAGAGAAAAATAGAGAACATTATTACACTTGCTGCAGAAATATTTCTGCAATTTTCAAAGCGAAGGGAATTCATTTGCACGTGTCCCAAGTTCGCGATTCCTGCGCCGCGACGGGCCATGAATAAATCTGCAAACACCTTTCTTTGCGTGGCGCGTGCCGACTTCCTTCTACTGTTACAAGCTTCCTTCAGTTTTTTTTTTCAATTATCGAAGTGTGTCGTCTATCGAAACGAAAAGGGTGATATCCAGGTGGATAGGAAAGTGAATCGATGCGAGGCTGGTCGGATTAGGTTAAAGACACGGAAAAAAAGTATATATATATACATATAAAAAGTTAAAGAAAGATTGAAGTCGAAAGAAAGAAATAAATTGCTCTCTCATTATAATTTGTGCAAATCTGCACCGCCCGATTGCGACTACGCGATTTGACTAATTCTCGTAATCAATTAACACAATAATCTACTTCGACGCTCACTGTTGTTGGTGCAAATCTGCTGCGTTTCTGCTGTTTATGCAAATGCTACCTTCCAAATGTAATTGATTAACGAAAAATATATGCTTTAATCAATCAATTATCGTTAATTACATAATTGTTACTAAAAACAAAAATAATTAAATTGTTTCAAAAATTAAATAAAACATTTAATTTTAATATTCTGATTTTATCGATGAATTTTCATTTTTTTAAATTTTTTATTTCATATTTGTTATTTAAATATTTAAACAAAAAATCTGCACAATTCATAATTAAACAAATAACGGAAAATGGAATAAAAACATGTAACAAACATGTGTAATAATTTAGTAAGTTTCGATAATTCAGAGGAATATTAATGTGTTTCTGTATATAAATGCGTACAGCATACCTCGCATAGTACGGTTACTGCGCGTCAAAACAATACCGAACTTGATAAATGTGTTTTAATATAATGCATTCCAACAATACAATCATATGCGCCAGTTGACAAATATATTGTCCAGTTGATAATTTTCAATTATCCGAAAATATTATTCAACAAAAAAATGTTGGAGACAATAAAAATTTTAATTAATATAATTATTTATTTTCAATAAAAATAAGTAAAACACAAAACAGGGGTTTATACTTTGAGTTATTTTTTTTGTCCAAATTTTGAGGTTTGTTAAAATAAATTTGATTACATATATTTTTCATTTATATTTTGAAAAAAAAAACCGGACTAAACGAGTTATTGCTTAGTCAAGTTTATCAATAAACGTAATACTGACGTTGTTAAACAATAAATAAAGAAAACCCGGAAGTTAACACTAGGTCCATAGGGTGCCGGATTTATGGGGTTATACAAATACCTACAGTATAAAATGTGTTACGTATATATACACACACACATATAATCTTTCTTTCGTTGTATTTATATTCTCCTCTCCTTTTTGTTGCGTTTTCTTGCGTATACTTTTTTTTTGCACTCGCCCGCCCTGGGCAAATTATTTATTTCCTTTTGTGTGAGCGCGGCGAGCGGCGGATGAAGGCGCAGCCAAGGGAGGGACCTAAAAAAATTTAAAAAAAATGGGAAGAACGAAAGAAAGAAATCGCGGGGCGCTTGAATAATTGCGGCGCGCCGGAAGTTCCGCTTATTATTTGTCTGTCGCCCTTCTAAGGGCCGCCCCACCGTATAGATTCGCAACTTATTAATTGCATTTGCATACGCCTCAGGCGACAAAATTGCGTTTAAATAAATTTAAGAAAATACGCAGAGGGTGGTTGGAAAATACATAGCATCCCTTGGTATTAATATTTGTGTATATAAATATATGTTTCTATATATATTATATATACATATGGGTGGGACGCGTTAAAAAGTCGATCGGTGGACTCGGAAATTATTCCGACAGGGGTAGTGCTGTCTGTGTACGTTCGCTTATTTATATATTTATTTATTTTATTTTTCGCTGTTTGCTTTGGTTTAGTTTGGTTTTTGCGGCTGTTTCGGTCTAAATAAACGAAATTATTTACGCGACACGACAAACAAATATTTTATTTCCGACGGTCGAGGGATGGGAGGGGGCGGTTTTTGTTGTGTAAACACGGAACAGACGATCTCCACCCTTGCAAATTAATGAATGCGACATAAAAAACATCAAATCCTGATATCAAAAAAAAAATGAAGAAACTACCAAATTTTTATGAAAACTTCTACTAATACGAACAATTTATTTAAAAAACTAATTTACCAAATATACCCCCAAACAATAGACAACTTTAATATAAATTTAAAAATTAATTTATATGTCCAAAAATGAAAATCAATAAAGAAAAATATTGTTCAGTAGTAATATAGAAAAATTCTAAATTATTAAATAACATAAAATATCAAAGTTGAACATTTTTATTTTCATGAATAAAATATATTAAAAACGCAGTTTATTGGAATTACGTAAAATTGCATATGTTTTATTATTGCGTATGCAATAAATAAATTAACAATAACACTTATTTTTCGTATTTATATAATAAAATTTGTAATAATGTTAACTCAACGATTTGAAAATTAATTTAAATATTTTTTTGAAATTCTTTATAATTATTATGATGAAATTTAATATTTATAATTAAATATGTTTAATTAAAAACAAATTCATTTAATTATTGCTAACGACATCGATACAAATTGTTCTCACATTGTTGTTCATTTACTGCAAGTTGGAGACCGAGGTGCAGCAATTAGCCGTTATCAACAGGTTATAAAACAATGGGAAGTATCGGATCGATATTGTAATGAAGTTAAAACAATACGAGCGCTGCACAGGTATCTCAGGAAATTGGATTAAAATTGCATAATTCATATTTCTGCAATTACGCAACCACCGTTTAATAACTCACTTATTCATTTTTTATTCATTTCTTATTCAATTTGAATTTACTTATTTTTGTTTTACTTATTTATTTTTTGATTAACTGTTTTTTACACATTCTTTTTTAATTTATTTAGTTACCTTTTTCTGATTTTGATTGACTTATTTTTTAATTTTTATATGATTCTTATTAATTTCTCTTTTTACATATTCATTTTTAATTAATTTCTTAATAAATTATTCATTTATTTTTCACATATGTTTTCTATTCATTTCTTTATTTTAACAAGTATTCCTAAATCAGGAATTCCTGAATCGTTTGAGAGTCGATAAATTTGATAATTGACATAATTGTAAATTTTCTCATGACAAAAGTTAATAAAATCGATATTGATCTAGGATCATTACATATTAGACTTAGACAACGGAGGATAAACGAATTATGACTTTATTTAAATATCTAGATAATCCAGAAATGAAATAACTTTTTAAACTTCTCGATTCCCGAGAAATCCCGGAAATGCCTTAAACAGTTGTCATAGATTACTATTGACTTTTTTGTTTCCACTAATATTTATTTATTTTTATTTCCTTGTATCCTGTTAAACCGGAAATCGACATAATCCCAGAAACTTGCAATTTAATGGACAACTATTAAGACCTAAATCTGATCCTTGGTTAATTGTTGAACATCATTTATGCGCATTCTTGGGCACCGTTTTCGCGGTGGAAAGAGATTAGTGCGAGAATTTAATGATCATCCCCGTGTACGGCAATTTGGCCACTGCGAAATTATTAAACTTACAACCACCACCCACCGCAATTACGTGCGTTACAAAACATATGCGAAATGAAAGTATTACCACAAACAGATGAACATACGTTGTTTTTTTTTTCTTGGAAGGGTTCGATGCTTTATCTTAGGCGGTAAAAATGCAATTTGCAAGACATCAGCAACGACACGAGCAAAATCGATGTAAATTAATAATCAAATAACGATATGCAGCAGAGCACAATATTTTGTTTTAAGAAAACAATAAAAAATATAATAGAAATGAAGAAATAATGAATACAGATCATTCCAAGACCAAGAGTATATTAACAAAAAAAGAGAAAAAAAAACTATTGAATAATGATACAGATTGATATATTATATAAAAAAATAATAAAAAAGAAAGTCTATAATCGATAAAAATAATACTTATATATATATTACAAAAAAAATATAATAATAATGGAAATAAAAAGACAAAAAAAATGAATAATATGAAGCAAACAACACTAATACGTTAAGTAAATGCTCTTCGATATTTTTAGAATATTATTCCAATGATAATTTTAAGCGATACGTGGTTAAATGTTGTCTCGGTTTAAAATATAATATATTATATAAATATCCTTAAATGTATATCTCTCTATATATATCTATACATGCATATACACAAACATTTATTTACATAATAAGTGTGACATTATGGAATCCTTTATGTCTTCCGAATTTTAGAGTTACCAGGGGTATTCCCCGTCTCACTCACCCTCCCCTTGATCCTGCAGAAAGGACGAAAGGATTGCATTGCACTTGCACACTTAAAATACAGGGTGTCTCATGAACAATAACAATAATTTTAGCGATTCCTTCAGTTTTAGTCGTACTCTACTATTGTATTGTGAATTGATGATGTTGTAAAAAAGGTTTTTATTTAGGAGTATTCAGGGGTTTTCCACGTCCACGCGACTGGAGTGTAAATGATGATGATTTGAACTAAATAGTTCAATTTGAAATCACAATGTATAAATTGTTTTATTTAATTTTACGCTTTTAAAATTAGTTCAAATTCACTTGATTCTCTTTTTACATAATTTTTAAACGTTTATTAATTAGTAACGAAAAAAAAATTGACAATGAAAAGAAATAAGTAAATTGAAGAAATTTTGTATATTTAATAAAAAAACAATAATTGCTTTGTTCTCAAGGTAGTGATTATTTAAGATAAAACAAAAATTATTTATGTATCCTGAAAAAAAATAGAATCCATGAAAAAAAAGAGAATCAAAAGTGCATATTGTTATAATTGTGTAATTTTATTATTGCTTATGTATTATTTTCTTTTTTATTAAAATAACCTTCAACTTATTTTAATTTTTGTTTTGGTATAGCGATTTTTCTTTATAAATCCTTTGTCCTGAATCCTTAACGATTTAGTTGTAGTTTTTTTTTTATTTAGCTCAGCTTTTTTGTCATATTTTATTAATAACTGCGACGAAACTGTAAGTATAACTTTTTTCACGTACAAACCTGCTTTGAGCTTTACATATTCTTTGATTAATTGAAAATATGAAGATTAATATTTCTATTTATTTCCCTTTAAGAATTTAAGAGAATCAAAGAGAAAAAATAAATCTTGAGATTTATATTAGTTCGATGTAATTTAATCAGTGTTCATAGAAAAAGGAAACTTTGTATACATTACTTATAATTAATTTTAAAATTATGTTTCGCCGATCAAGTTTCAAAAAGGAAGTTTATTAAGTGTAATAGAGATCATTGTGATCAGTAACGTCGATATTAAAGATCAATTGGGCCCCACGAATTATGAGACTCCGAAACAATCAGAATCACCGCCATGTATTGGGGGCCTCACTCTATATTTATGCCCGGGGCCTCAAAATACTAAGGACAGCAGTGTTTGTGGTTAAAGTAAATAAGTTTT